TTTGGACGTGATCAGATGTGTCCAGACGAGAGAGTGGAATATCTTGATCCATTTCGGTTTGTGCTTCGCACTTGGCTTGATACCTCGTTGCTTGGAGGATGAGAGAGCTTTCAGCCATTTTGCTGTTAACTTCAGTTGTGCCCCATTCTGGCAGGTAGAGTGCCCTTCTTGGCAAGTATGTTGACAATGGGAAAGACAGGAAGCCTGACTCAATTGTGCCCGTAGTTCATCATTTTGACCATTTTTTTTTGTTTTAGTTTTCTCCTAAAAAATTTTGACCAAAATGAGAGTTAGATTAACATGCTTGTTCAAATTTCTGATTTAAAATCATGCAAGTCAGGCCATGAGCACTGAAAATTTTCCTCTTTTGGGTCCAAGAAATGGTCCAGTTTTGAAAATAGAATACTTTTCGAGAAGATTAGTCAACCTCAGTAAAAATTCTCAAAAACTATTTCGCAAACGGTCACTGCTGAACGAACACGGAACCTACCCTTGAGATGCACAACCTCAGATCTGAAGGAAAATTGCCCCTTTTCCTGAAGGACACCGCATGGCAACGGAAAGTTGCCCCTTGTTTGAACGGCACCGCGGCGCAATGAATGGCAACGGAAAGTTGCCCCTTGTTTGGACGGCACCGCAGCATTTTGTAGGCAGTCCTCAGAGCAGCGAACACAACCGAATCCTCAGATACAGAGAAGACAAAGATGACCAAAACCATCGCATGGACACAATCGAATTTGAAGTGTTTTACGGCTGGACTTCAGAATGAAGTTGCCTACGTATCCCAAAGATGGGAATCAAGCCTCACGTAGTTCGGGGTTAAGGTACACTCGGGTATTAACCTTTCCTTTTGCGCTCTAACTTTTGCCAAGGCCGCCCTTCCGGGTTTTCAACCTTGCGAGCTATGTTTTTCTTCTTTTCTTTTCAATTCCTTTCATTTTGTAGACGTCCCCGAACGCTCCCGGGAGGAACGAGCTCCCGTTCTGTTCATTTTGGGGTCACTACAGCTCAGGACTCTCAAATTTGTCACGGTTCTAAATCTGAACCAAAGAGGGCCGCCCTTCCGGGTTTTCGGCCCAGCGAGCCTCTCAAGGGTAAAAGTATAGCTTTGTCCATGTCAAATGGTTTTGAGATCCCGAAGTCATCTGAATCCAGGAGAATGGTTGTTGTTCGCTGACGATACAAGAGTCCATCCAATGGAGGGTGAATTTGCCCCCAGTGTTTGTGGATAGGAACTCGGTTGTCCTTCAACAATGTCTTCTTCTTTCCTCCCTTCTGGGGTTTGGCATTCTTGCCGATCTTCATCTTGGACTCTTCGAGCACATTTGAAATTCTTGCCCTTAGTTCGAGGGGTGCTCCTGATCTAGCTTTGCAAGCTTCTTTTGATGACATCTGATCTTCTTGACCTAACTTTGGGTGCCTCTTGTTCGAGGGCCGCTTCAAATCTGGCCACACAGGCCTTACATGGCGGTTGACCGTTGAACGTTCTGAATGGGCCCAAGGTTCAAAAACAAATGGATTGAATCTTGAGGCTGAGAGCGATCCTAGGCTGCACAATCTCAAGAGCGATTCCACACAAGTCTTCACAAGACTGCGCAAAACATTTTGTTTTTGAAAGTTTTTAAGAAAGCGACAAATCGCTCGCGCCAAAGATAGTGTGGAACCAATCTGGATCAAAGATAGGGTCCTTCTCAGTACTCACACTAACAAGCATGATTTCATTCATTAAGGGCTTAGCACGCCTCTCTTTCTCTTAGTTTGATCAAATTTTTGCAAATCCCGAGAAATTCCTCAATCTTTGTTTTCACCACGGTGTTCAAAAAGTTTTGGAAAACTTAGGTCGATGTAATGAATTCAAGGCACAAGAAAGACACAGCTTCTAGTCAAATACTGCCATCTCACTTAGAATTTCTGGTACAACTGGCACAAGGCAGGAGCGAACACAAGAATGCGAAAATCGCTGTTGTTCATTCAAATCTGTTGGCACAACTGGCTCCTCGGCAGAAACAGACTAAAACAAAGCAAAAAGACAAACACGAAACAAAACAGTGATGTCCGAGGTAACACCCTTCGGGATCATCTGACCCCTATACAACAGGACTGACTCGATACGACAAGGCAGACCTCAACTGACTCGGTATGAAAAGACTGACTCAAAATAAAAGGACAGACTCAAAACAAAACAAGGCTGACTCAATACCCAAGTCAGAATGTAGCTTTCGCCAAATGTTCAAAACGGTGCGTGCCATACACCTTATCTGAAATAAACTGAACGTCGCCCGCAGGTGGTTCATCCCTCGATCACATAACATTATCCCCCACAAGTTCACTGATCAAGTGTAGATAGACTTTGCAGGACCTGGTGCGGGGATGACCCCGTTGTCAATCAAATTTTGTATCTCGTGGCGGAGACGGACGCAACTGTCGGTGTCGTGACCAGTTTATTGATGGAAAGCACAGCACTTAGTCGGGTCATGTTTTGGAGGGAGAGGATCGGGTAGAGGCCGTTGCTCTAACGGTTTCAGATGTCTTTTCCTGAGTAGGACCCCCAGGGCTTTAGACAAAGACATATAGAGTGGGGTGAAAACCCTCTTGCCTTGGGGTAGATAGTCTGAAGTTCGGGGGTTTGAAGTGGATGCACCAACAAAGGGGGTGGCTGCTCTTGGTGTGGTGGTGGTAACCATGCCCACTTCAGAAGATCTTGCAGCTGCGTCACCACTGGTGGTCGCATTCGAACTGCGGGTAAACGCCCTCCTGGGCTGCTCCTTCTCCTGATCAATGAGGCCCTGCTTCATAGCATCCTCGATCTGTACTCCCATCTCATGCAGATCAGAAAAGGTAGGGAAGGGCAGTACAATCATCTTTTGCATCAGCTTTGGCTGGAGATTGCGCACAATCATCCTGATCTGGTCCTTGTCAGTAGGTCTCAGGGTCATCATTGAAGCCTTGGCCCTCCAGCGGGCTACGAAATCAGAGAAGCTCTCCTTCGGCTCC